CGGATGCATTAGGCGCCCAGTGAATACAACCTTAAGACCGTTCCAATAATCCCTTTCTGTGTGCTTCCATCTTTGTGAGGTAGCGTACCGAAATTCGGCGCTTCGAAACACAAAGGAAGAGCACGCCAATCAAAGGGCAATCTATAGAGGACGCACGATGACGAGGCAGCCAAGCTCGCGCCATCATTGTTGAGGTCGGGGGAAACACGCGCACGAGGTGCTCTGGAATTACCAATATGGCGACTCCAGCGAAATCGACGCCACGTAGCGGCAACGCCGAGAAGCTCAAGAGAGGAGGTCGTTTCGACTCTGTCGTCTGCTATCGCTGCTTGGTTCTCGTAAGCACCATAGAAACAAACATCGTTTCCTGTAATTATTTTTATGCTTCTGCGGTGTCATTCCACGCACTGACCAGAAAGAAGGTTTCTACCGTCGAAAAATCGCTTTGCTTTCATAGGTGACACCGATTTTATAAAAAAATTTGTGGCGGTCCGCGCGCTGAGTGACGAAAACGACCTCCAGCGCGCACCCTGTAGTTCGCTCGAGTCGCGAATAACCCGTTTCTGTGCGCTTCCATCTTAGTTTTCGGGGCGTTTTGAGCTTGTCCAGAAGCCCGCTTTTGCAGAATATCAGACTCCGCGCATACGTTCATGGGGCGCGTTCAGGGAGTATTCACTGGCGGCCATATCCATGTGTGCGAATGCTGAGCGCGTGCTGGTGGCGAGCTTCCACAGTTCTTTTGAAACGTGCGTTCCGCGCCTTCAAGAGTGCCGGACTTAGCAGCCTATTGATGGGAGCTCGTTCTGAGCATGCGCCCTAAACAGTACCCACAAATATGGCGTCCAGTGAATACTCCCTGCAGCGGCTCCTTCAGCTCCGAACGGAATAACTTGAGTCGGTATTCTCAAAGCGCCTGCTAAACGGCAAAAAAAAAAAAAAAAAAAAGGTGACCTCTTTAGTTGTGTCTAGTCTACCCAGTTTTCGCTTCCTCCCCTGTGGCAGACGGTCTCCGGATAAAATTGAAGCGGACGACGCCGAGCACGATTGCTTTTATTTGACGCCGGTATCGAAGAGGCTATAGACAAGGTCGTTAGAGAAAAAGCGACTGGCTGCAGATATCAGCGCTGCTGTTCGAAGCGATCCAGCCCTTCGCAAAGCGGTGCGAAGGCTGCTACTGTTGTAAAAACCGCCTTAAAACCGTCACGGCCGTCTTTCTGGACGTGCTCGTCAGTCGGCTTATCAAATCGAGTGCAGGAAGTGCGTGTCTTTATTAAGGCGAAAGCCTTATATGTCCCATTACGGGAAAAGGCGTCGGCGTTGTGCCCGAAAGACGGCCTTAAAAATACGTCATCATGTACGCGCCGCTCAAGGTCAAAACGTGCTTGATGACGTGTGCAAAAGGAAGACGTGACGCGCTGCCTCTGGCGCGTCAGTTCCGCTTCGGACTTCATCTGTGCTCATTGTCTGCTTCCTGCGACGGACTGTGAGGCGACCGCGTCTACATCTACGGCCTCAATATCGGCACCAGCGTCAACATCTACGGCGGCACACCGAATACAGTACCGGAAGAAACAACTTTAACACGTATAGAAACGTTACTCGAAATCATTTCACCCGCGGGACTATAATGCTTTCGCATTCCTACACGTAAAGTGTCTTTCTTTTGCTTTTTGGTGTGCAGGTGTTTGCGTGCCCCCTAGCAGCCTTTGACTGAGCTTGGACTTACGGTGAAACGAAGTATACGCCTCGCAAGTGGGCTCATTTTCGTCGCCTGCGCATGAGAAAGGAAGTAGCGGTGACGTCAGAACGCCGAGCCCTGATTGGCTGATCGCGACCCCCTATTTGAGCGTCGTCTGCTCCTTTGCAACGTCGTCTGCTCGCAACGTCGTCTGCGACTGTCTTACCTTTCCTGCGACTTTCGGAAGTCGAGCGAGCTCGACCTCGCCTTTCAGAGGGGGCAGACGAAATAACTCGAGCGGTACGTTGTCTTTGTCTAACAATCGCGTCGCGCAACAAACAGTCGCGCATCAAGGAGGAAAGTCAAAGGACTCACTGGCGAGGTGTCCCAAGGCGCCGAGGTTTGTTTGCTAAGAACCGAGAGGTGAGCGTGTTAGTGTCCGCAAGGTCCCTCCTAAATACTTTTCCCCTCCTTTCGTGTGCGTTGAGACCCCTCATTCTTTAACGGCGTCGGCGGGTTGGCGCAGTTAACGTCGTCTGCTTTACGTCTGCTAGTCAAAGCGATGGCTGCTTTACCTTTCCTGCGTCTGTCGGAGATTCACCGCTTTTTCACCGGCGAGGGTCACCGTTACCTCGGGTAACAAGGAGATAACAAGAGGAATAAATTGACCTCTTAATCTAAAATTGAGGTCAGCGATCAAAGTATAATACGGGAAGGGTTCACAAGGGTCGCGCGGGCATATTCCATTCAACACGCCAGCCGGTCGGGGGCAGGCGGTCGCCGAGTCGCAGAGTGCATGCTAGGCTTAACTGCCGAACTCACTTGGTCGCGCTCGGTGGAATCGTGGCCGTTGGAGCTTTTCCCGGGTGTTTGTGGATCCAGCGTTCTTGTTCGTCGTGGTCTGTTTCAAATACCTTTTACTTTTTTCTTGATGCTTGAAGTCTGGACGCGTGAGAAGTGCACGTAGAAAAATAAACGTCCGTGGATCGTTGCGACCGCGACGCTGTCGGCCATGCTGATTTGATCGTAAGTGCGTAAGACAGCTTCGGAGTTGTCGTAAGATTTCGCAGTAACCTGTGCAAAACTTACGAAAATTTCGTTTCGTGAATACGAATTCGTTCTTAAGTTTTGTCTTACGCGCATTTTTGGCGTAAGATCGTTTCGTGAATCTGGCCTCTGCACTTCCGAAAGTCGCAGGAAAGGTAAGACAGACGCAGACGACGTTGCGAGCAGACGACGTTGCAAAGGAGCAGACGACGCTGAGATAGAAGGTCGCGATCAGCCAATCAGGGCTCGGCCTTCTGACGTCACCGCTACCCCCTGCGCAAGAAGCAGACGAACTTGCCCTCCGCATAGACAACAAGGCTGTAGGTCTGGATTGTCCCCTCCATGAGGCCGGCACAGACTGTTTGATGAGTCGGAACGCGGGTCCCAGCTGACGCGGCGCTCGTGTTCACCCCGTGCCTCGCCCCCTGTATGTGAAGCCTCGTTATCGAGGGCATTGGACGCCCGCCTTCAACGGGTCATGAGCGGCGTCCTTTACGCAATATGCGACGGCACTCGTTATTTGCGCACCTCGTGCTTTCTTCAACTCTCACACGTAGCTCAACATGCTTACAGCGTCACTCGGATCGTACGTGCCGCCTATTTGGGGGACTAGTCTTTCTCACCTAAGAGACGTGAGGACTGTTTAGCGACCAGTCAAAATCATTTTCGCATCTATAAAGGTAACCCTTTAGCGACGTGCGTCACGGTGGCGTCCTTTCCTTATTCGTAAGTTTGCGGCTCTTCTTATCTGTCCTAGGTCCGTGTACGGAGCCGGCGGGGTCGGTGAACCCGAGAGAGGCAACGCGACGCCACCCGTTCATCGGCTCTTCCGACTGATAAGCCCTATCTCTAAAATGGGATTGGCCCTTTAACCGGTACAATTTACACTCGGAAGCTCCTCTCGCTGACGCGAGAGCTGGGCAAACTCGACCATGGGGAAGGATCGTCGATGGGTCCAAACCACGGTGTAAGATACAGCCTCTATAGTTGAGGACACGGCGGGGCTGAACGCGCGGCACGAGGAATCAGATAGTGTTCGTTCGACGGGCATCCGAAAGGCTGCATTATTCCGCGGCCACCGTGCCCGCGGCTGGCAGAGTCGCCGGTGGCCAAACGGCGAAACTATGTGAGAGCGAAAAGCATTATCTGGTTGCCATGACACCCCGGTACACCGTGGTCCTTCTGCACGAGCGACAACCTCGCTGGAGCTCTGCGCGTGTGGAGCATGAGGCGGCACGAGCCGTCTTTGCCGCGCCCACGGGTCGACGAGTCATTCGCTGGCGCCGCTTGAAACCATAGCGAGAGAGAGAGAGAGTGAAAAGCGAGCTTTATCTGCACTGCGCGTGGAGCGCGCTGTCCTCACCTGAAGAGTATTATCTTACACCGTGGTCCAAACAGACATACCGGTCAAGTCCCCAAATCGACGGATGATTGTCATGTAGGCGCTTCGAAGGGACAATTGAGCAGGTGGAGACTCTGAATATGTCGAGATCTGCGTTGGGGATGCTCTAGTTCGAACGTAAATAGTTTTGCTCAAACGAGGATTAAACTAGAGAGCATAGCGCCATCATGTGGATGTAAGTTGCCCTCTTGGTGGAGCTACGGGAGTCGACTTCCATCTCCTGTCTGCTGTATCTGCGCACGTTAAATGGGAGGTTTTAGTTACTTTATTGCGGGACGCTCAGTCGACTCATGTGACTATGTGATTACGCTGAACTTCTGGTTCGGTGGAATGTGATTACGTTACTCACTTTTGAGCGGTAACATTTGGTGTTTGGCGTTAAAGTCGAATGATTCCCTACGGGTGCATTCATTTCACGAATGCAAAAATTCCAAAAAATGACAGTATTTTTTTTTTGTCAACAGGTTAAGAAATGCCGTAAGCGGACGCTGCGAGTATACCTGGAAAAATCTGCTCTGTGCATTTGGGGAAAATCTCGGGAGTTATTCACTATTTGTTTGTGTCCTCTCACGCCACGTGTGACAGTTCGTAGCAACGACGCGCATACCGCCCAAGCACTTCACAGGGGCAAGTTTTTCCCGCGCAAGCTAGTTATGCCATCTCTCGTTGTTTGTGACGTGCCTCTAATGGTCCTGTCTCCTGTACGAGGCGAGGGTGCTGTATTTCCTTTTGTATAGTAGTTGCTAATCCCTAAAAATAAAATCCGCAATAGCTCCGATATTGTGTTCGGGCTAATAACTACATATCTTCGAAGTGTTTGTGTGTGTGTGTGTCACATCTGGCGCTGAGTGTCCCCCCTTTTGTGTCCTATAGATGTGGCGGACATCACGGCGGACAACTTCCTGGACAAGCTGGACAACGGCGTGGTGGTGTGTCGACTTGCCAGGCTCATCCAGGCCAGGGCAGAACTGTGCGGACGCCAGGGCAACTCGGAAAAGGTGCGTTCTAGCTTATAGGCCAATTTTCTCTCGACCAGGGGGCGTTGTAGCGTCCACGAGACGCGACCACAAAAAAGGCGCTTTCACTAGCTTCTGCAAGACGCGATAATTTAAAGCTGACATGGATCGGCGTCATGCACGATCCACAGGCATAAACGAGCGTCTGTTATCGCCTCTCATCGTCTGTCCACGGGCACTAACAGAGCCGTAGCCTTCCATATACTGACAAAGCCTGGCAGACCGCCACGAGAAGCGGCCGCCGAAATGGAAAAGGTGGAGCGGCAGACAACGGATGAGAAGAGAGCCACCTGACTGGCGCCTCGCTGCGTCGAAACGCCGAAACACACTTCTCCCGAGCGAACGAGTGTGTCTCGGGTCATCACCGCTGCCAAAGCTGTGCGTTGACGTCCAGGTTCCCCGAGAAATGGCTCTTTGATGCTCTGTGCTACCAAATCCTCGCGCTCCAAATCTGCGACCGGGCACCCTATATATGGTTCCGTCGTCGAACTGCCAGGCTTTGTGAGTATAGAGGAGGCAATAACAGAGCGTTTTAAAGGACGGAACGCGACGCACAACAGAAACGCCACTTAAAGATATCTGGTTTTGCTCGGAAGGGACGCTACTCATAACTTTATACTACAGGTCTATAAGGACGTCATGCTCGTTCCTTCTTTGCCGCCGCAGACTTGCCCCGCTCTGGTAGCGCGATTGAGACTTTGGGTCATGTAGTCTACGTCTTGCTTACCGGACATACTTTTATATGCTATAGATAGTTCTGTCTGCGCTCTCTGAACCACTTAATTAGAATCCACGCCACGGTTATTCGTAGATCCGAACTTTTGGTCGTTTGGCGAGCATATTAAGTAGCTCCTCGACTTTCTTGTAATGTCCTCGTGGGGGCCGCGAGGTCCTACCTCGTTAGTTAAAGTGAGGACATGGAAAGAAACAACGAACGGCGTGTCTGCCTGTGATGGCGGCTTCAGAGCATTCTCTCCACGAGCTGTCCGAGGAGCGTGCGTGTACAGCCTCTAGCAATCTGAGGGAGACACGTCATTCGTTGTCTCTTTCCGTGTCCTCACTTTAAATAACGTGGTAGGACCTCGCGGCCCTCGCATATTTGGTGACCCGGACGTTATTGACCGTTCCTTGTAGACGCGGATCGACGAGTTGTTTACAACCCAAAGGTAGTAGATGGGCGTTTTGTGATCGATCCGCGCGTTTTGCAGGAACAGCGCTGACTTTGGCAGGTACAGGAGCAAACCAGCCATTTCCGTCTTCTTTTTCAAAGACTCTCAGATCACGGCCTTATCATCAACGCCGCAAAAAGCTGCACCCACCAGGTCCATCTTTCTCATCAGAATAAAAGAGATGGATCTGTGGGTGCGTTGCACCCTACATCCGTTATAATCTTCTCGAGATACAAGGGCAAATATTCGTGATTCTTTCGTATTGTTTTGTTTAAACTTGAGTGAATGCCAACGCCCTTTTTTTGAAGCATAATGGGAATTGGTGGATTCAGAGAGGTTTTGGAGCGCTTTTTGTTTGTACTGTCTTGTACGTGCAAGCGCGCGCTAGCATTTACACCACTCTAAAGGCGCGAACATGGAGCCCTTTTGCACTCCAAATCCACCAAGGGGAGGTTCCTGTAGATCGCCAGCTTGAATATCTGAAAAGGTTTAAGAGTTGAAAGAAGCAGAAAAGAAAGGCCAGGCTTCAGTTCTGGTCATCGACATAAATATTTCATTACTTCACCCGTTGCCTTTAATATGTCGTGAATAGTATATTTTCACTTTAAAAGCATTAACTGATAGTCCAAATGACTTCTTCCAAAACCGACGCGCCCCATCGCGGCGAAATACCACGCAATGCACTCTGGGAACTAGTTGGCCACTCAGTTTCGGTTTCGACTGAGCAGCTTCATCTCATGCTATCACGCCGCGTCCGAAAGCGCGGCTTGCGTTTTCGATTATTTGACTTTTTACGAATGTACTATAGTACACTCATTCTCGAGCGATACAAAACGAAGACCGGGACACTTTCTTTGATTCCCGAAACACCGGATATTGTGCGTGCGTATGCAAACGTAGTAAGACGTGGCTTAGTCACCTCACCCCACAAGTGCATCTTTGAGCTCAGTGTCAGTAACCCCGTCTAGTATACCATTGAACTACAACTGAAATTTGGTCAGCTTGAGCCCCACGCGTACTTTGTTTGCCAAACGTCCGCTTCTCGTTGCTTGATTGGGCGAAAAGCAAGCCACATCCTCACAGGAATATCAAAGTTGAGCCCAGCGTTGACGCATGAACTTTTAAAGAAACGCAATAAATGCGACCTCACTGCTGCACAAAAGTTACTATGATGTCTTTCTTGTGTCATCACATACCTCACACTCAAATTTTATGCTGATGGAAGATTACGTTTTAGCAAACGCTGAGATCGGCTAGCTACGACGGAGGCTCTAACAAGTGTCCTCTTCCCCTCGCTAAGCCTTTTTGCACGATCTTTTATTGACGCCCAAGATCTGTGCCTGAACGGTGTGTCTGAAATTATCTCGGCATACTCAGTCAAGAAGAAAGCAAACACATAACAAATATTATGGCCATTAGCAACCGTCAAATGCGCTTTGAATAATTTCGTTCGTTTGGCGCACCGCATGGTATAAAGCGCGAAACACGTGTACGACGAAACCGTCCGATCCGACGTCCGACCGCGCAATACGACGGTCGGAGGCGAGGGTTTTCAACGCTCTCCGATGCTACGAAAACCCTCTCCCCCCAAGGTCATTCCGGCAGTCCGCACGTCGGATCGGAAGGTTTCGTCGTACATGTGTTTCGCGCTTAAGTTCATGCCCGTCCGGCGCACTTCCGGCGAACGGTGCGACATTCTTCACACAAGTGCTCGACTTTTGCTTCTTTACAACGGTTTGTATGTCCGAATGTGCCTATATGATTGCAGGATAACTTTATGCGCATACGCGATAATAAATATTAGTGGAATGCAAACTGGTGGGGACTTCACTTCGTGTAGCGCTGCGGGGCAGTACAGATAAGAGATAAGTGTGTTCAAATGGAGCTTTTCAATGGCGACTCCGAGTTTTACCTCGCGCACTCAGGAGTATTAAGAAAAACAGTAATTGGGCAAAAAGTTATATTTCGTCTACGGACGCACAAAACAAACAACTTCCTGATCAACAAAACTAATGTAAAGACGCGAGCTCGATGTATGCATACTTATTGCTTGCTACAGCTTGTTGATTCGTACACAAGCAAGATCCCCGAGCTTCGCAGCGTCGAGATTCCCAGCACTGGCTGGTCCACATACCTCGAAACGCTAACAGAAAGGCTCAAGTACACAAATACAACAAGCATGCGTCAAGACAAGCTATACGTATTGGGCTTGTGCTAAAGCTTCGAGGTCTGGCCATTTAGGTCAGTTTAGAGACCACAAATGACGCTCTCGGGACCAGAAAACATGAGATCACGGCCGTTTGTAGTCCACGCTCTGTGTATAACCTCTTGTCGACATGTCCTTCGAAACCGAGACCATGCCACCCTCCTTTCAGGCCAACTACTTCCCAGAGTGCAATGCGCGCCGTGTTGTATGCAGGGATTTATGGAAGTAGTCTATTCTTTAGCTATTAGTGGTCTCAAAATAATCACGGAAAACAGGTAGAGATGTAAAACAGCCACAGTAAATAGAATGGACGTTGACGAAGCATGGCGTGAAAACTAGCTGCAGCCAGTGAAAAAGCACTTGGGACCAAATGGCGTTGACTGTAAGGGACAGGCATGTCGCTAACCCCCCCCCCCCCCCCCCCTCCCACCCCCCTTTTATTTGAAGTGTTAGAGGGATCCTGTGGACGGCCGTGTTTGCTGCTGGCCTGGGCTCTTCGGTTTCTCTCGTGATTTCCGAATGCCTCTGTTTAACTTTGGGTTTCTCACGGTGCCCGTCTTGTTGAGTGAGACCGCGCCGCCAAAGGGAGAGCACTGGCGCCGACGGAGTCTGGAAAGCTCTTGGATGTCGACGGGCCTTTCAACGGAACGTACATCATTTTCTGCCTGGTCGCGCACCAAAGGAATAAGGCTAGCCAAAAAAGAGATGACGCAAGCTGTGCTATCAACACGCGCCAGGCTGTGCGAGCAGAAATCGACAAGAGGCTCGATTTCAACACTTGTTTTGCGTTTTACTTCGCTGCTTGGAAAGAAAAAAAAAAGAGAAACGCTTTTTTTTTTTTAGTTTTTTCAGATTATGTTGTACTACGGTGCATGGAACGCGTCTCCGACTGGTGTGTTTATTGCGGTAAAAAAAAAAAAAATGGTCCCTTGATTTCCGCCTGATGACGTCATACGAGTGTCACGCTGCCGCCGGTCGCGATCCTGGTGGCGTCCTGACAGCTGCGGTGTATGTGGCAGACGACGCTTGTTCTGCTGCAGGTCGCTCTTCACTCCAGTGTGGCAGTCCACGGAAGCTTCGACATCCGGAAGTTGGGATTCCGCGACGACGGCGACAGTCGCGTTCGCTCCTGCTTTTCGCCAGCATTTCTACGACCAACCGCCAGGATCGCGACATCCGACAGCGTGACACTCCGGCTTCTGTGACGTCATTTGTTGCCACCTCGGAGCCACTTTTGGTGTTGGGGCAGCATAGGACGCTCTAAACACTCCATCCGGAGACGCGCTCCAGGCACAATAGCTCTACTAAAAGTCAGTGCGCCGTATAGTCGCCAATTTAGTGGATGGCTCGGAAATGTCGCAGCGTCCTGTTTTCCCGGACATTTTAGAGGATTTTGTGCGTTTTGTCGTTTTTGTTTAGGCACGCAAGTTTGGAAAATGTATCAAGAAGGAACTGTATTTAACAGGGGGGCGGGAAAAGCAGGGGGGAAACGTGCAACGACTTTTCCGCCGAAGTTGCTGGGGCTTCGTCGTTTCCGCATACACTTCTCTCGCCCTCACTTACTTTCCTTTGACCTTTATTCTTTTTTTTTTTTTTTTTTTAGATCG